AGAAGATATACTATTAGGAAGTCATTTCACCATCATCATCATTTGAGACAGAAGATATTCATGCATCGTGGAAGACCATGCATCGCGAGTCAATATTCATGCATTGCGGGAGATCATGCATCGCGAGTTAATATTCATGCATCGCGAAAGATCATGCATTGCGAGTCAATATTCATGTATCGCGGAAGACCATGCATCACGAATTAAGATCACGCATCGCGAGTCAATGTTCATGCATCGCGGAATATCATGCATCGCGAGATATTATCCAAGCATCGCGAGAGGATTTCATACCTTGCAAAAATTTATGCATCACAACAAGATTCCATGCCTCATTGAAATTTATGCATCACGAGAATATTGCATGCCTCCTTGAAATTCACGCATTGTGAGAAGATGTCATACCTCGCAAAAATATATGCATCACGAGAAGATTCCATGCCTTGAAATTTATGCATCGGGAGAAGATTTCATGCCTCGCAGAAATTTGCTCATCAAGGGAAGACATTCATGCCCCGTCAGAAGTCATGCATTGCCAAAAAAGAAAATTGTGCATCTCAAGAGAAGTATTTACCTATTCGGCGTCAACTGCATTCTTTTATTTTGATAAAAATAAACATCAAAAAGGGCATCGAAGATGAAATCAAGAAAAATACTAGCACACCGTGTCAACTTTCCTGTATGTTGACATCAATTGAAGAATATATGAAGATTATATTGCAAACACAACACATAAGCTTTATTTGTTTTATGTCAAACCAATCGAGTTGACGTCAAATGTCGAGGAGAACAATTAAGTGTCTGCATGGTAAAAGACACTGTCTCCCATCTTAATTGCATTTCTATGCTGACGAGTTTTATCTCAGTTTTTGTCGAAAGCATCCGAAAGGATGAATTTTCCAAAACATATCACGGACGACATCAAAAAGGATGCAGCACAATGTGGAACTTTTGTTAGCAGCGAACTGGGACATAGTCCAAAGAGGAGTGTCAAACTCTTAAGGCGCGAGCAGAGGGGCGACTTCTACCACAATCAAACCACACCCCTGTTAGATGGCATGTGGGATTTTTCTTTATTTTGTCAGTTTCGGTTTTGCATCCGAAATTTCGGTCTACCAGGGGCAAGTTTCCTATCTGAGTGACATGCACCAAGAGTTTTAGAAATTATGTCCGTGTAAATTCTTAATTATGGGTGTGGAGCGCACCACATTAATGACTAAAAGGTTACAAACCTCCTTTTCATACTCGATTTAATTGGTCAAACGTCATCAAGCATAATAGATTTCTTTTCCACCGATGGAGTCGAACTACAAACAACCTGATTCTTAAAGTTTAAGGATATTTAGGCGGGCTCAGTGTTGAAAACTCGGTTGTATTCCAACATTCACTCTTGAATCCCATTCCCAAGCATTTCGATCCCTTATAATCCGGTATCGAGATGACTTTTGAATTCCTTCAAAATCGTGCGTTAAATCAAGAATATCGAACTACAAGTGGATAGAATTCTCATATAGCCTGAGATATGTAGTAAACATGTGTCTAGGGCTCATCCATGATTCCTAAAGTCCGTATCAATTCCCGTTTCTAACATAAATATATGCTCGGTCAAAATTGCTTTGGTCAATTTCATTTTCATTGAATTTCTTGCATCAATCCAAGTAAAATGAGGGACAGTTGTTGACATCCGATTTTGACCTCCCCGATAAATTAGCTAACGAGCTTCCTAATTCCAACGATCTAAAATAATTAGATCTTATAAAGTTTTAAAATGTTTTTGCGTTTTGTTAAACTAATTTCATAATATATTGTTATATATAATTATGCACCTAATTAGCTTTTTTAATACTAGAAAATTATCTCAAAAGAGTTTAGTTCCCGGCATGTATTGGGTATAATTAGTTTAGAAATTATTATCGTTTACATTATGAATTATATTTTATAAGTACCTATTAATTTTATTTTTATATTTATGATGATTAATTTATTTCGTTAAATTTATAAAGCTCGTCTGATCATTTTATGGTAATACATTCTTTATCTAATTACCCAAACTCTTTATTTTATTTGGACCAACAGATTTTGGTCCTATAAGCATATTCACTCCAATTTCCATTCATGTAATACAGAAGCCCACTCCTTTAGGCCCATTTTCGTATCATTCAGGAAAAATTCAACACATTTTTTTGGCAGCCAAATTTTGGTGGCCCAGATCTCCGACCCGGTCCTCTTCAATTTGGCCAAAATCAGCTCAGTAACTCTTTCCCTATCAAACCGATTCCCTTCATTGTCATGACCCGACCCACTTTTGTTTATCAAAAGATCCAAAGCACTAAGCAGTAGTGAACACACTTGAAAGGAAAAATAATGGCAGCCCTACACTCGCCCCTCCCTTCACCACGCGAAAGAAAATTGACGGAATCAACATGTACAGAAGAGACGACGTAAAGCAAACCACGTGCTCGACAATTTTTCTTGTCGTCTTGTTCTTCTGTCACTCTCAGCCATACTCGCGCGCAGCTTTGCTGCAAGGAAGCCTGCAATGGTTTGCGTTGTAGCTACGAGATGAG